CGGAAGGTGAGCTGGCCATGCAAGTTCCCTGCTCAGCATTAGCTCAGTAAGTTGGGGAGGATCGAGTGGGAGTGGGTGCTGTGGCTCAGCACCTGTTCCCATCCCCCTTCCAGGTGCCTCCCTGGACTGCAGAAGCTGAAAAGCTGAGCCCAAGACCCTAAAAACCCTGACCTGATTCAGGCTCTGCCCACCAGGAGTGTTCAGAGAATCTGATCCTGGAATGGAGGTGAGCAGGAGGGAGGGGCCAGTGCGAGGCAGCTGTTTGCTACTGTGGGTGGCAGCTCCCGAGCAGGACCGGCAGCCAGTCCTGCTGTGCAGCTTTGGAAGTTGTCCTTTGAAGTGCAGGGCAGAGTCTTTCTTCAACCCTCCTCACAATTCTATAAGCCACTTAGCATCCTGTCATAAATCCCTGACTGCTTATAGTAGTTACAGTAGATTTTTTTCTCTGCAGGAGCCCTGATTGAAAATAATGCCATGCCGTGGGAGGTGCTCCTCTGGCTAGGGTTCCGGGGGTGTTCTCCCTGAGACCTGTAGGACTGGAAGAAGCCAACTGGGAAGAGTTGTTACTTAGGAAGAGGGTGCTGCAAGGGCAAGGCCATGTGGTCTGAGCAGCGTGGGGGTGTCCCAGCACAGAGAGCATACTGAGGTGCTGAAGACGAAGGGCAGTGGGCTAGGGAGAGCCAGCTAGACAGCCCCATTCCTGGGAACACCACAGCCCAAAGATTGAAGTACCCTGTAGAAAGCAGAGGTGTGCAGAGACTGTGGCATCTGGCAGGAGTGAGGCCCTCTGGTACATGTCTGTGGGTGAGCACAGGAGCGGATGAGCCGCGCCTGTGTGGGCCGGCATATGTGGGTAACTGCATGTGAGTTTTTAAATTTGTGGCAGGGTCTGCTTGGGGAGCCAGATACCGATGCCTGGCATTTGTTCTGGAGGAAACAACCTGCCCCACGGTGGAAACTCTCGGTCTGAGTCAGCAGATGTGGCTGGGAGCCTCAGCTCTGCCCCAGCAGGCCTGGGGTCCTGCGCCATGCCTCAGGGAGGGGCACAGGCAAGCCCCGAAGGAGCTGTTGTTGTGTCAGTCCTAGAGGGCCCCCTTGGCTAGCCCTTGGCGGGAAAGAAGGCCTTCCCCTTCTAGCTGGAACCCCAGCACTCTGGGAGCATCTGGGTTCCGGGATGGAACAGGGTGTGGCTGGGAGGCAGGGAACACTGGCCGAGCATGCCTGTGTCCTGCCTTCTCTGAGCAGCTCACAGACAGAGTCATGGAAACCCACACCCGCCCGCTCAGATCCAATTTAAGCAGCACAAACTCCAACCTCCCATTCCCAGTTAGGAAGGGAACTTTATAGCACCTGTGGTCATCCAAAAGTCCAACATTAGCAACTCATTTTGGTTAACAGACACCTTTTAAAAATTGCCAACACCCTGGGAGTGCTGGGACCACCGATTACTCACACTGTCCTCTCCACTAGCCCGAGCCTCAGCAGGCATGGGCAGTCAGGGACTAGTCAGTGACTGGGGGGGCCTGCAGGGCCACTGGAGACAGGGCTGGGTGTGGACAGGACTGCCCTGCCGACCGCAGCCACAGCCCTGTGCCACACTCCCCTGGAAAACACCTTGGGGTGAGTGGCTAGGAGTGACTTCCAGGAAGGCCTTGTCCTCAGAGGACACTGAGTGTTCTCTGGTGAGGACACTAGTGTCAACCAACTAACTAAACACCTATTGAGTAACAGAGTCCGGTCTGCAGAATGTATCCTCTCCACCTCAGCCCACTGCAGCCTCGGGTCTACTGGGGTCACTTCTGTGGCCTCATCTATGAGGTGCAAGAGGTGTTCACCATGTAGCTAATGAAAGGGTGAAGGTACTGTGGGAGCACTCCTGCCTGTGTACACACACAAACCCTTCTGTGTGGGGCAATACCTTGTGGAGTGCTGCCTCATGTGATCCACAGCAGGGGGTCGGACACAGCATCCAGGTTTAAAGAGGAGTAGCTGAGGGTCAAAGGGGTTCTCAGTGAGTCCATGAAAGCATGGAGTCAAGCAAGCTGACTCCTTAACTGGCTGGGGGTCTTTGCCTGAGCACAGAAACTGCTCCCCCTGAGACCCCAGCCCAACACAACCCAAGGGGCTGTAGGTTCCAGAAATTAAGCCCACCTGTCCCCAGGCTGCTCTCTCTGCCCCTCTGTGCAGAGCAAAAAACCCTTTCTATGTCCCACAAAACTTCTCAGGCATGCTTTTGAGGGGGGGCACTCACACCACCAAAGGAAGTTCCTCCCTGGCCACTCTCTTATCTGGCCCTCCAAACCAGCCCAGCACCCTCCTGGGGCAGCCCCAGGCAAATCAGCTGTGGCCCTGCCTGGAGGTGCCCCAGGCCTGCAATCCCCCCAGCTGCACATCACAGCTGCAGCCCCAGGTTGCAAAGCCTTCCTGAGGTGGGGGTGGGGTGGGGGCTGAGTGGAGGGAGATTCCAGATGCCACTCAGGCTGTGTTTAAACTAGCCTTGACCTCCAGTAAAATGGGGAGAGCCCTGAGGCTGCTGCCACTGCTGGATCTGGGGTGAGATCCAGACTGCACCTGAGTGAACCACAGCAGAGAGCGGCCTGCAGCATCTCTGGCTCCCCAGCACAAGATTTTCCCAGCCCATCTACTCCCTTCCCTCCAACTCAGAATCAGCCATATCTCCAAGGAGCCCAAGGGCCTTTCAGTGGGGAACGGTGCTTAGAAACCAAGGTCTGGGGCCAGGCATGTTCTCCGCTATGGGTGTGTCGCTGCTCTTAGGCTCTCTCAGCTGACACAGCCAGGAAGGATGGTGTGCAGCCTTACACGCACATGCACACACATCTCCACCATCTAACTTGGAAAGCACAAGCTCACGCTGCCCTGCAGTTCCTCTCCCACAATGCACGGCTCCCGCACCTGCCCGTTCCCTCGCCTGTAACTCCGTCTTCGGCGGTGAGAAACTTGGCTTCTGTGACACACGGGCACGCACGGTTCGGTCCCAGAACACACAGAGCAGTTGCAGATCTGTTAACCCATGCCTCTGTGCGAAAAGAGCCTGTGAACCAGCGTCCTGTGTCTGTTTGGAACAGCAGTTGCCCATGTGTGCTGTGGGACCCCTGGAGGGCCTTCCGCGGGGTGGTGAGGTCAAAGCCATTTCCATGAGAGCACCCTTTTACCCTCATGCTCTGATGGGGATATGGTGCAGGGTTGTTTTTTGTGTTTTGTTTTGAGACAGAGTCTCACTCTTTGCCTGGGCTAGAGTGCCGAGGCGTCAGCCTAGCTCACAGCAACCTCCAACTCCTGGGCTCAAGTGATCCTTCCGCCTCAGCCTCCTGAGTAGCTGGGACTACGGGCATGCACCACCATGCTGGCTAATTTTTTCTATATATATTTTTAGTTGGCCAATTAATTTCTTTCTATTTTTAGTAGAGACAGGGTCTCGCTCTTGCTCAGGCTGGTTTCAAACTCCTGACCTTGAGCGATCCTCCCCACCTCGGCCTCCCAGAGTGCTAGGATTATAGGTGTGAGCCACCACGCCCGGCCTATTGTGCAGTTTTCGGAGGCTGTGTTCCACAGCCACAGTTTTCTGACAAGGCCGTCAAGGATGCCTTCCTTTTCCAACCACATAGCCGTGTAAAGCTGAATTCTCTTCATACACTTCAACTAACACGACACATTTTATCAGATTAAACGTAGACGCAGAAATGAGAGCCCAGCTTCTACTAAGCCAGACAATAAAAAGATTTGCAGAAATGGAGAACCACTGTCACTTTTCTCACTAAGGTTTTTTATTTTGAAAAATATAGTTGTTTTCCATAAAACATTAGGCTCTTTATGTTAATGTGTAAGAGCCTCATTTTGCCATTCCTAAGTGAATTAATAAGTTTTCTGGACATTTCTGTTATGATTTAGAATAGGGTAAGTATTGATAGGTACAACCCATACAAACAAAAGTTCTTTGGGGTCCTCAATGCCTTTTAAGTGTGTGAAGGAGTCCTCAGACCAAAAAGTTTGAGAAGCGCGGAGTTGGATTTTGCCTTTGGCCTGAGGACCTGGAGTCTAAATACTGTATTCAGAGCTACCTCTCTGTGGTTGTGCTATTTATCTGAAATGTAGGTTAGGTCATTTGTTTTTCTTTACATTCTATCCTTTTTGATTCATTTTCCCTCTCTCTGAATATGTGAAACATTAACAGGGTTCCCCAAATCAGAATGTATTTTGTGTAAGCTTAGAAGCTCCCTGGGTAATTCGGCTGAGTGGAGGCCTGGGAATGATTGAGTAAGACGGTCTCCTCTCTCCTTCCTCCCTCCTGGTTTCCAGATCCCATGACTGGGGCTCTATAAATACTCTCCTGCCATTGAGCCGGATAAACCTCAGAATGCGTTAGTTAGCATGTCCCAAAGACAGGCAGGGGCTGGAGCCCCTCCCCTGGGGTGAGAAGGGCAACTGCTGGTGCAGAGGGCTGTGCTAGCCCTGTCCGGGGTCCTGGAGAGGGTGTCCCCTGCCTCCCTGAGCGGAGCCCACTCTGACTCCCCATCTGGGAGGGGTGGCCTGCGGATGTGGTCTGGCTGGCTCGCAGGACAGACCACTCTGCTGTTCTGTGCGGTTTTAGGCCATGAACAGAAAAAGGCTGAAATCCAGGGCCCCAAGGGCCAGAGATGCCCCAGCTGGAAGCCCCAGGGCTTCCCCAGCCCACTGCTGACACAGGTCAGGCCACTCCCTGCCCAGGAAGGTGTAGCACTGGCTTTAATTCAGAGAAGGTGCAAACAAGAGCCCTACAGCCCCCATGCCCTGGGCTGTTCCCCTGCCCAGGAGCACAGAGCTTCCTTTAGCACCCACGGGGGCGGGGCGGAGCACAAGGAGGGGGCTTGAAGGAAAAGGAGAGAGAGAGGAAGAGGGAGGGAGATAGAGGAGGGAGGAGTGTGGAGGGAGGGAGGGACTGACGGACAAAGAAAGGGGTGCGGCAGTGGCGGGAGGGGAGGGGTGATCCAGCCTGGGAGAATGTTCACTCTGCAGTCGGAGTTGCTGGGAGGCGAGAGTGAGCCGCACAGGGGCAGACCTCCCTTCTCTTCCTTCCTCCTGTGTCCTGTCAGCCCCTCTCTGGAGGCCAGGCAGTGGAGCACCCTGCCAGGAGGAGCTGGAGCCTCTCACTGGGACAGCTGGGACCGGCCAGCTGCCCCCAACTCTCCACTGCCTGCCTTCCCACTGCTCCTGCCTGGTGAGTAGCGTGGTCTTCCTGCCCTGGGCGCACAGACCTAGAGAGGGTCTGTGCCTCCTGGCACTTTTCCCTGGGGCCAGAAACCTGCAATGCCCCACGAGGGAGACCCACCCTGGGACTGGCCACACCCAGAGCTTTGCTGATCTAGTCCTGGGCACCGCTAGTTGCTCAAGTTTGCACTAGGTCCCGTTTCCTCCAGGGCGGAGGCAGAGTGGAGAGCCTCCCCAGCCGTGCCCAGACCGGCCCAGAGAGCTGTGAGGCCGCCTGCTGCGGCGCGCTCGCGTGTGCAGTGATCCTCCAGCCTGCAACCCTGCCGGTTACCCTTTGGTTCTTGCAGGCAGATGGGCAAATCTAGCCTTCACTTCCCCAGGATGGGGGTCTCCAGAACTCAGCAGGGAAGTTTTGCAGAGCAGGGAGGGATGTGCAGGCACCTCGGGACCATCCTCAGAGCCCCCAGCGCCCATAGTGCTGCCTGGGAGCCCTTTCTGGTCTGAACCCTGGGACCGGCGCGTCGCAGGGTTTGTCTGGAGAGGGTGCCAGCGCGTTGCCGCTCTCCTCCTCTGCTCCTAGGTGATGGAAAACCCAAGCCTAGCTTCCACCCTGGGCAGGGCTCTCTGGACTCTCCTCCTGGCCACACTCAGCTCCACCACTGGCCAGCCTTTTGGGGGAGAGTCTGTCTGCACAGCCAGGCCCCTGGCCAAATACAGCATAACCTTCACGGGCAAGTGGAGCCAGACGGCCTTCCCCAAGCAGTATCCGCTGTTCCGGCCCCCTGCGCAGTGGTCTTCGCTGCTGGGTAAGTGAAGCCCCTCCCCCATCCCAGTTCAGGGCATGTTCAGCAGTGACCCTACTCCACCCAAGAGGCTGCAGCATGGGGACATTGTCACCCCAGCAGCTGCACAGCACTCCGCAGTTTGATGGGCACTCACATCAAAGAGGCATCAATGCAAGAAATACTTGCTAAGTGCCTGTTGCATGCTGGCAGGTGATGTTCTGGACTCTGGCAACGTGGTGGGGGCAGGGTGGCAGAGTCTGGGGAGGCCTGGCTGGACAATGGTCACACCAGCAGGTATCTAGGCAGTGTGCAGCCACAGGCTGTCACGGTCTGCATCTGCCAAGGATGGACGGGGTTCCCTGCCTTGCAGCTGAGGGAGCTCAGGGAAGGAGGGGTGTGGTGTCCACTCAGGGTGGCCAGCCGGGCTCAGAGCCTGGGGCCCTGCTGCCTCTCACATTTGGCTGCTGACTCAGACGGGTCATCCCACAGGGGCTGCTCACAGCTCTGACTACAGCATGTGGAGGAAGAACGAATATGTCAGCAATGGGCTGCGGGACTTTGCAGAGCGCGGGGAGGCCTGGGCCCTGATGAGGGAGATTGAGGCTGCGGGGGAGAAGCTCCAGAGCGTGCACGGGGTGTTCTCGGCCCCCGCCGTCCCCAGCGGCACCGGGCAGACCTCCACGGAGCTGGAGGTGCACTCCAGGCACTCGCTGGTGAGTGCAGTCCAGCAGGGGCGGGCGGTCCCTGGTGCGTGGCCAGGGCAAGTGGCTGAGCTGTGGCTGCACTCAGGTGTCCTTCGTGGTGCGCATAGTCCCCAGCCCTGACTGGTTTGTGGGCATCGACAGTCTGGACCTGTGCGAGGGAGGCCGCTGGAAGGAGCAGGTGGCCGTGGATCTTTACCCACATGATGCTGGGACCGACAGCGGCTTCACCTTCTCCTCCCCCAACTTTGCGACCATCCCACAGGACACCGTAACTGAGGTGAGTGACTGACAGCCCCACGACCTTCAGTCACTTGTGCTGTGCCTGACTCTGCCCACTCTGGGAAGACCTGAGCCAAGCGCCCCCGCCTGCCAGAGGTGGCTCTGCTTCTGGTGCCCGACGGTGAGCAGGGCTGCAGTCCTGCCCCACCACAGGGAGGAGGCCATTGTGGGGTGTCTTGACTTTTACTGCCTCAGTTTCCAAGCCCACACTTCTGGGGCTGCATTATATGTGCATGTGACCACGCCTGGCACGTGAGTACAGTGCACCAAGCGCTGTCCTCACGGATGTCTCAGCTGACGCCGTGATGCCACACACCAGGCGGAGGGCATTGCCAGCCTACCCTAGGGCTGTGTGGGTTTGTGTGTCACTCAGAGGAGCCCAGGTTGGGTGCTGTTTTCTGGCACCGCCCTGCTGGACACTGGGTACTGACCCCAGTGGAGACAGCACACACGAGAAGGTGGACTTCTCAGATCCCGGTGCCAAGCCCACCTTCCTCCACCCCAGATAACATCCTCCTCGCCCAGTCACCCGGCAAACTCCTTCTATTACCCGAAGCTGAAGTTCCTGCCTCCCATCGCCAGGGTGACCCTGGTGCGGCTCCAGCAGGGCTCCAGGGCCTTCATCCCTCCTGCCCCAGACCTGGCCAGCAGGGACAACGAGATTGTTGACAGCCTCTCAGGTAACTGCCAAGCTTCCCACCCCCGCACCGCAGGGCCTAGCCCAGGACACTGGTGATGAGGAGGGGCAGGCCCAGGAGGCCTGCAAGGTGCCCCGAGCCCCCACACTCATGACTCCTGGGGGCTTGGAAGGTGCCCGAGCCCACCACACACATGACGCCAGGGCCCAAGGCACTCGGATTCAGAGGGAAACTCGATGCACCTCTGGCCCACACCTCTCCCCCACATCCTGTGGGGGAGAAGCCACAGCTCAGAATTGTGTGCCCTGCCCTGTGGGGCACATGTCCTTTGGTAGCACGGGGTGGGCCCCCAGCCCTGGCTCGTACGCCCCCTGTGGCAGCGCACACGGTGACCCTCCTCTGTGCCCGGCACTTTGCAGTGTGCAGGTGAGTCTTATCCTCAACGTGGTCCCCTGAGGAGGGTGTCGCTGTGTGGGTCACATGGACCCAAGTCTCTGAGCAACTTCAAATGGGGGGTTCCTAGCATTCACTGCAAGATAATTGAAAAGATTTAGGGTGGTTGAGTCAAATACTGAACTGAGGATTTAACTGCCACAGTAGTTACAGTTGGAAGCATCTTACATTACGACAGCCTGGAAGTGAATAATGAAAAGAGCCCAGAGTATCTGAGGGCAATGTCCCATCAGAAATGTGCCCACAGGTAACCTGTATGTCACAGCCAACGGGGACAGAGGTGAGGACGTTCGCTAAAGCAGACCCTGCCTGTCCCCTCCCTGCAGAGAGAGCAGAGGTTGTCGGCAGAGGCACCAGTGCCCACGGGGTGAAAGCCGTGTTGCAAGGGCTGCTGTGGGGGTCTCGAACCCAATCCCACCACAGCCAGCTTGGGGTTCTGCTAATAGACGCCTTGGTGTAGTGGTACCCCAGGAGTACTGTCTAGCAGTACCACCACGGCCGAGTGATGGCCACTGGCTCCCAAGCACACACCAGTGGCTCCTGGAGTCTCCTGGGTCCTGGGACAGTGCTCCTTGGCACTGGGTCTCCCAGCCTCACCTGCTGCAGACGCTGGAGGGGCAGGATGAGGTTCCTGTCTGCAGAGAGGCCCCCGAGATGAGAGGACTTAATTCAAAGGCCACACAAATGTTTCCTGTGGAAGAATTGGAGTCAACCAAAACCTGGTAGGCCGAGGAGGCTCGTTAGCGATGGGCCCAGCTGTCTTCTGCCTTGCTGGCTGGAGTCCAGGAATGCTCAGGGCCACCTCACACACCACCGGCCTCTCAGGCGGGCCTCAACTAGACTCCAGGGTCCGGTCAGGCAGGAGGCAGCGAGCTCCTCATGGCTGATGGGAACCGCACCCCAGGCCAGAGACTGCCCAGCTCAGGGTCCTTCCTCCTCGTCTGAGTCAGAGCTGGCCTCTCTGCAGGCCCTGGATGACAGTGCTGCCCCTGCCAGCTCGGGCGGCATGTCCTTGCTCAATTGTCTGAGTGGATGCGCCATTCCAGGTGGATACGCACGAGTCTTTCATTCAACGGGCAAACACTTCTGAGCACCAGACATGTGCCACAGACAAGACAGTCTGGTGGGAAGAACCACGTGTGGGCAGATGGTCCAGAGAGGTGTGATCTGCCCTGTTCCAGGGGGTGCCCAGCCACAGTGGGCAGGGGAGCATGTGGCCAGCACCTCGGCCAGGAGGATAAAGTCAGCTGTGGCCAAGCAGGAAGGGTGCTGCAGGGGGAGGGTGTGGCAGACAGTGCCCTGAGCTGAGCTGGGGACAGGATGTGGAGAGGAGAGGGCAGGAGGCACACAGAGCTGGCTGTGCTGGCTGGGGACCATATGGTGAGAATACCAATCAAAGAGCTGGCACCAGCTGGGCAGGGTAGAGCCAAGCCCCTTCTCTACTTAGCACTCTGAGGGGCACTACCTGACCGCACATGTCCCTGTGCACCATGCACCCCAGGTGCTCTGAGCTCCCCGCCTGTTCCGCTTCCCTGTGCCCTGGCAGCCTTCTCCCGAGCACCACTATACCCTCAATGTGGTGGGGGCTTCCTGCTGACGTGTGGGACACCCTTGCCCTCCACCTCCTCTCAGGGACCTGCAGGGCTTGGAGGTCAGCATGTGAAGTGTGTTGCAGCCCCAGGGCCCTACAGCTGCTCGCTGACTCCTTACCACAGCCAGGGAGCTGGGGCTTGGCTTGGGGCCTCCAGGCTGCCACGTGGCAGTGGGGGCTCAAGTGTCCACTCCCATGCTGGCTGCCCTCGCTTCTGGGGGTCTTTGCAGACTGGCCTCACCTTGTTCCAGGTGCCCTGTCCCCTCTGCGGCCCTGTTCCCTCCTGAATTCCCCAAGCACCTGTGACTTGTTTGTAGGAGTCTCATTCTTCAGCTGCCACAGAGATGGTCACAGGAGCTGGCAGGGTGCGTGAGGAGAGTCCAGTGGAGCCACTGCCCTGTTGTTGGCCAAAGACATCACTCTGTCCTCATGTGCACAGCAGTGGCAAAATTGATGATGTTTAAATTGATGGAAACAGATCGGACGCAGGAAAACAAGAACGACAACACTGAAAATGAGCCTCACGGTGGGACAAGGTCCCACAACCAAACAGCTCAGCCCAGCGCCCACCACGTCTCCAGAAACGCGTCTGTATTAGGATCAATGCAGCCGGCAGGGTCTCTTGCCAGAGCAGGGTCTGCGCAGGAACATCCTCCCCTCTTTCTGGGGGCGGTTTCCCAAAGCCCAAGACACCAGATTGGGCAGCAGATCCAGCTCTTGCTGCAGACCCACACGACTCGAAGCGTTGGTTGTCTGTAGGCGGTTGTACGTGGCGACCTCCGGCCTGTGGCTTCCTCTGTGGTTGTGTCTCTTTGAGCCCCGGAGGGTGGCAGTCCTTGGGGGAGTCCCCTCTGTTTCCACCAAGAGCCTCCTCCACGGGTGTTCACATGTCACACGCCGGTCTCTCCTGTGCTTGGTGCAGGTCCAGAGACGCCACTGGACTGCGAGGTCTCCCTGTGGTCGTCCTGGGGCCTGTGCGCAGGCCACTGCGGGAAGCTGGGAGCCAAGACCAGAACTCGCTATGTCCGCGTGCAGCCTGCCAACAACGGGACCCCCTGCCCCGAGCTGGAAGAAGAGGCTGAGTGTGTCCCTGATAACTGTGTCTGAGACCAGAGCCCTGCCGCCCCTGGGGCCCCCTTGAGCCTTGGGGTGCAGAGGACTGCACACAGGCTTGAGCGTGCAGCGGCTGAGGACTAAGGAAGTGCCCTCTGGCGGCAGGGAAGGGAGGTCTGGGAACAGGCTCCTTGCTCCGGCTCTCCTCTTAGGGCACCCTACCCTGCGCACTCAGACTCCTCACGAGGCTCTGCTCTAAACTTGGTCCCACTGTAATTTATTGCTGCTTGGGGAGGCTGCCTTTTGTGCAGACAGCACCTGCACCAGCGCCCAGGTAGTATGACCTCCCTGGTGCAGGAGCTGGCACCCACACGGCTGTGAGATACCTCAGACCCGGCACCAGCATCCAAGCAGGGGCGCAGTGCGAGAAGCAAACACAGTGGGGGCAGTTTCGGGAACCTCACTTGGCATTTTCATGTTACTGATCTCTTTGTGTTTGAATAAAGACTATCTGTTCCTGACAAATGTCACCACTGTCCTCGAGCTGCTCTCTTTGGGTGGGCGTTAACAGGGACACACAATCGATAGGCACCGCGCAATGCTGGGCAAGGGGGAACGATGCACCGTCCCCACAATGGGCCAGTGTGAGCTTCATGGGTGTCAGGAGACACTGCACGCCATCAGGGCAATACAGGGGCAGCAGGCGCACCCCATAGGCCCAGTGTCCACAGTGAGTCCCCAGCAGCAAGTGAGAAGCTCAGAGGCACCGCCAGGCGAACCCTCTTGGTGCCCTCTGTGAGGGAGCAGCTCTGCCTGAGACCCAGAGCCCTGGTGACCGGCCTGCAGCAGGTGCCTCCTGGGGACCTGAGCTTGGGCCAGCCTTTAGACAGTCCTAAGGGACCCACTTTGATATGAGTGGCCCTTTGCAGACGGCGAGGTCCTCAGAGTCCCAGTGACCAACCTGGGCCATGCAGTTTGAAAACATGTGCAGGGGATGGCTCTTCTCCCCAGCCCCCTCCCAACAACTCAGCTCCTCACTCCAAGGGGACCCTGGCAAAGTACCCTTCCTCCTGAAGGCTAAGACCCTCTAACCCTGATGATTCTAGAATCAGATCCCAGGCCCAGTCCCTACCACCTGCATTCCCCCAAGACCCCAAGCCCACCTCCCACCACCCTGCGTCCATCCCCTCCCACTACCCTTGAAAACTCCTGAACATAAAGCCAAGCTCACAAGTATATGAGTTCTGAGGTTATGTGAAGATCTGAAAAACCTCTGATTAAAAATTTCCTAACATTTTCTGGACCAGTGGTGCTTAGGCACATGGAAGAAAAGACCCTCAATCCTGCCTGCAGATCACACTGTGCACTCAGGACTCACAGGGTTCCCTAGGACATTAACTCACCATCAGAACCCTCCAAACACACATAACACCAGCTCTGGTACCCCTAAATCTGCGGAGTTTGCAAACTATAAATCAGACTCACTGAGCCATTGGAGTCAGGGTGATTAGGCATAGGATTTGGGGGAGCAGACTGATTGTGTTAACCCAACCAGGAGTGCAAAATCCGAAGTGTGCTAGAGCAACACACAGATAATAGATTCAAACCTAAATAGGTGGAGTGAACACTCCAGTCAAATGACAAAGACTGTAAGACCAGATTCACAAGACCCTGTGCTATCACAGAGCCTATAAAGTCCCTTAAGAACACTAAAAGGTGGCCAGATGCAATGGCTCACACCTGCAATCCCAGCATTTTGGGAGTTTGAGGTGGGAGGATCTCTGGAGGCCAGGAATTTGAGAACAGCCTGGGCAACATAGTGAGACTCCATCTCTACAAAAATTAGCTATGGGTGGTGGCATGTGCCTGTAGTGCCAGCTACTCACACATTGACATGGAGGTGCCTTCACAGAAGTCACCAGGGTCCACATCTGGAGGACTGCCCTGTTGTGTTAGGCATGGAGATTTGAGGGAGACAGATGGTGAAAGTAAACCAATGAAGGAATCTATGTCAGGAATCTAGCTGGTGCCCTGAGGGAGAGGGGACAGAATGCTGTTGACCCTTAGGAAGGTGGCTGGCATGCCCACTGACAAGCCTACGTCTGCACAGAGGGTGCACGGGACTCAAGGCTGTTGCCCCACAAGCCAGTCCCCTGCCCAGACGCTCACAGGAAGATCTCACACGGCTTCCCCTTTGCTTCCTCCCGAACTCTAAACTCTGGATAGACACACCATCTGAGACACTGTTCTTTTCATAAGATGTAGGGGAGGACTCTTCCTCCCCACACTTGTAAAAATAAGCAAACAAAAACACTGAACTGAGGCTGGAACAAGGAGGTGCTGGGGTCAGGCCAAAGAAATCGAGCTCAAGAGCAGCTGACAGAGGCAGGGCTCCCCAGGGCTGCTGCAAGCGAGAGTGGGCCAGTAGCACAGGCAGAGGTGAGCCTGGTGCCCCACGCTGAGTAGGACCCTCAGGGCAGCGGGAGGCGCCCCTTCTCAGTGGGAAGTCCAGAAGCCATGTTCCCTACAGGAAGCTTCCCAACCACTAATGTGAGCCCCAGCACTCCCCAAACCCCAACAATCAAAACCAAGCTATGAACACAACACAAAGATCAAACAAATAAGAAAACAAGTCACTATAATTGAAAGTCAGCAGGAAAAAAACCAAATAGATTCAGACATCCAAGATCATAAATCTTCTCAGAAACAGAATACAGAACAGGTAGAACAAAAATGACCAATCAACGAGGGTCAATTATTAATAGAAACAGATAAATTCAGAAAGGAAAAACTATGAAATGACAAATCCTTAGTAGGTTAGTTAAAAAGTTAATTAGCATAGCTGGAGACAGAATTAGTGAGCTGGAAGACATAGCTGGAAGACATCACCCAGAATGCAGTACAGAGAGACAAGAAGCCAGAACATTTCAAAAAGATATGGAAGATAAAATGAAAAGTTCTAAGTGTTTTAAATCAGAGACTCTAAAGGAGATAATAGAATGGAGAAGAGATAATCTTTAAAGAGAAAATGGTACAAATTTACAGAACTGGTTAAAATAAAAAGGTATCTCTGGAAATAGAAAGCATAATATATATCCCAAAGAGGAAAAATAAAAGTAATCCATGCCTATGCACAGCATATTGAAACTGATAAACACCAAAGACAAACAGAAGACTCTCAAAGGACACCAAGGAAAAGAACAGATTGCCTATAAAGGAACATGTATTGAATGACAACTTCTAAACAGCAGCAAGGGAGTCAGGACACAGATAACATGTTTTTAATTTGACTTTTTAATTTTGACAGAAATTAACTATCAACCCAGAGTTATGAACTCAGCAACATCTGTCAAGAATGAGGGCAAACCTGTAGAAGGCTAAAGCAGGACCCACACCTTTCACCTCTCACAAAAACCAACTCACGCTGGATAACAGACTTAAACCTAAGGTATGAAACTATTAGAATTCTAGAGGAAAATGTTGGAAACACTCTCCTAGACATCGGCCTAGGCAAAGAGTGTATGAAGAAGTCCCCAAAGGCAATCACAGCAGCAACAAAAATAAATAAATGGGACATGATCAAACTAAAACGCTTCTGCACAGCCAAAGAAATAGTCATGAAAGTAAACAGACAACCTACAGAATGGGAGAAAATTTTTGCATCCTATGCATCTGATAAGGGGCTGATAACTAGAATATACTTAGAACTCACGAAAATCAGCAAGAAAAAATCAAATAACCCTATTAAAAAGTGGGCAAAGGAATTGAACAGAAACTTTTCTAAAGAAGACAGAAGAATGGCCAACAAACATATGAAAAAATGCTCAACATCTCTAATCATTAGGTAAATGCAAATCAAAACCACAATGAGATATCACTTAACTCCAGTGAGAATGGCCTTTATAAAAAAGTCTCCAAACAATAAATGCTGGCATGGACGCGTAGAGAGAGGAACACTCCTACACTGCTGGTGGGACTGCAAACTAGTTCAACCTCTGTGGAAAGCAATATGGAGATACCTTAAAGCGATACAAGTGAATCTACCATTTGACCCAGCAATCCCATTACTGGGCATCTACCCAAAAGATCCAATGACACTCTACAAAAAAGACACCTGCACTCGAATGTTTATAGCAGCACAATTCATAATTGCAAGGCTGTGGAAACAGCCCAAGTGCCCATCAATCCAAGAATGGATTAATAAAATGTGGTATATGTATACCATGGAATACTATTCAGCTCTAAGAAACAATGGTGATATAGCACATCTTATATTTTCCTGGTTAGAGCTGGAACCCATACTATTAAGTGAAGTTTCCCAAGAATGGAAAAACAAGCACCACATATACTCACCAGCAAATTGATATTAACTGAGCAGCACCAAAGTGGACACATAGGTACTACAGTAATAGGGTATAGGGCAGGTGGGAGGGGGGGGTATATACATACATAATGAGTGAGATGTGCACCATCTGGGGGATGGTCATGCTGGAGACTCAGACTTGTGGGGGGAGAGGGGGAATCGGCATTTATTGAAACCTTAAAATCTGTACCCCCATAATATGCTGAAATTAAAAACAATTTAAAAAATTAAAAAAAGAATGGAAAAACAACAACAAAAAGAATGAGGGCAAAACAGACATTTTCAGATTAACAAGAGCTTAATGCCAAGAGCTTAATACTGCACTGAGAAAACCTCTAAAGGATGTGCTTCAGGATGGAGTAAAATTATCCCAGAAGGATGATCTGAGATACAATGAAGAGTAATGCATTAAAAAAAAACCAACCTTTCAAATAACAAAAGCACAAATTCCCTAAGGATGAAGAAAAATAAAAGCAAATATTTGAGATGCTGAAAATGACAACTGATTGACAGGTCTGAGGGAAACAAATCCTAAGCTGGAACTTTAGGTTTGTAAATTCAAAGAACTAGGCAAATTCAAAAAACTCAAAATCTTTAAAAGCTCAAGGAATTAGCAGTTTCAAATAGTAACATTTGTTACTAGATTTTACAATATCTTTGTATCATTTGGGTATAGGATAATCCTGACCTCATAAAATGAATCCAAGTGTTTCCTTCTCCTCTGAAAGACTTGTGAAAAACTGACATTAACTTTTCCTTAAACGTTTTATAGAATATTTTATAGGATTCACTAATGAGGCTATCGGCTCCACAGTTTTCTCTGTGGGAGGAGTTATTATTTACAATTTGTTTACTAGATATATTACTATTCAGATGTTCAATTTTTTCCTGTGAAAGTTTTGGTAATTTGTGCTTTCAAGTAATTTGTCAATTTCACCTAAATTGTCAAATTTATTGGCATAACTCACTCTGTCAAGAATGAGGGCAAAACAGACATTTTCAGATTAGTAAAAAGAGCTTAATACCAAGAGAATTGTACTGAATAATAAAATTCCTTTATTATCTTTTCATGTTTGTAGAATTTATAGTGATATCCCTTCTTTCATTTGGATATTGGCAATTTGTGATTTTTCTCCTTTTTCCTTGATCAGCCAGCTA